CGTTTGGATCAAAAGTGACTTTTGTTCGACTCGCAAATTTTGCTTTCGCTCGGCCTTGCTAAACGCTCTGCATCGCAAATGCAAAATTCGCTTGTCATACAAAGTGTCACTTTTGATCCTAATAAAACAATCTACTATTTTTCTCACTCAATATTAATGAGGAGCAAAAGTTTTGTCCGAGTCATTTCTTCATTCGTCCTCGATTTGCAGAGATTAAAACTGTACGAGAGTCATCAGTTTTACTTCACGAAAAAAAAACAACAAAATTGTTGAAGAACTTTTATTGCCATGATCGTTCTCAAGGTTACAAAAAAGTCAACGTCGATTGTTTCAACAGATATATTTCTCTCACTCTATTCTTGGTAGAGAATGAATCATAAACATCTTCAATCTGATATACAAATACTCCGACAACAAACAATAAAAATCAACAGTTAACCAGAGTTCCGCTTCGAATTCATTATCACCAGTCTCAGGAAATGAAATGTATCATCTTCAGGCAAAACTTTCCCAATATCCCGAAAATCACAACCGTACTTGTATAAATAGTCACTAAACGGATCATTCGATTTCCGCAACATTTCTTCCACAAGCTGCTCCGACAACAAACACGGAAATTTTGTTTGAATTGCATGAACAATTTCGAAAAATACGCTCCCGCTCTTTTCCAAACTAAACGGAGCACGAAGAATATTTTTCAAAATATCAAGTATCAAAATACCGGCATGTTTATCAACTGTGGTTCGGGAAATTTTGAGGACAATCCTCAGGATTTTTTCCAAAAGCGAACGATTTTTTTCGTCTTTAGACTCCCGAACATAACCACACAATTGCGCTAAGAGTGAATGATTCTCGCACAACTTTTTAACCCCCACTGAGCACCCGCAACTAGTCTCCACCACATCCAAAATCGCCATTTTGGTCTCCAAATCCGACGCAGCACTCGCATACAACTCAGAAAACAATTTGAAAGCCATCGACTTAGAAAAATCCCCAAAATCCTTATCAGTTCTCAAACCGTCCTTTAGAAGCTCCAAAATAAACATTCTGCGTTCTTTGTAGGTGACGTCAGAGCTGTGCAGAAAAGTGTACAATTCCGGCACGGTGCTAAAATCAAGGGAGGCTTTGGCGGAGAGATGTTGCGATAGGGGTAGGTACATCACGTGGTTGGGTTGCGTGAGTATTAGTGCCATTCGGGCCAGGTAGATGGCCGCAAAGTTGTTGAGTTTGAAGTCCGGCAACGCTGCTGCACCTGAAACGAATATCTTCGTATGTCATACAGCGAGTGTATTGATGATTATCGAAATACAAATCCCTTCGATTTCCATAAAGACATCATGTTGTGTTGGTTTCCTGAAGCAACATAATTTCTTTCGGAAATAGATAAGGATATTTGGATGATCATCAAAGAAACGAGTTGTATTTGTTGAGATTATTGTACTCATTATTTCATGAATATAACTATGATTCAATTCGAATGGGCTTTTTCAGTCAATTCGAAAATATATACACTCAGTTCCAAAAAAAGTGACGCACTTGATATTTGACCTATCTTATTAAAAAAAAACGAAAAATAGTAGGCAGATTTTTATTTTTTTTTTCATTCGTTGGTGAGTAATGCATTTTGTCTTGAAAAAAATAAAGAGGTGAAATTTTTTTTCAAAGCCTCCTTGATGGTGGTGGAATAACTCGAACCATGATTTATTCTTAATTTTTGACTCACCCTGTGTGTTATTTGAGTGATGGTATACAAAGTGCTTAGACCCTATACGAAAGAGGCATCTTTTGCGACCATTTTGTTTTTTATTCATTGATTTATCTCTAAAATTTTCCGAATTACAGCTTTTTTGCTGATACCTTACGCTTATCCCATAAATTAAATTAAAATTGATTGGGTTGTACTCTGGTAGGATCACATTGTCTTTAAAAAAACAAATGCGGTTGCCATAGCAACTAATTTGTTGAATGCCTCCATATTTGAATATTTGTCGTTGTGTCATTAAGTGTCTTGTTTTATTGACTAAAATTACATAAAATGCCTCAAATAAATCCTGAACAAGTAGCAAGATTAGTTGCGTAAGTGAACGATGATCGTAGTAAACGTTACGCGTGCAGTGGGAGTTCATGAAGCAACTGCTCGTAGAGCAATCCGCAAGTACGAATAAACAGGAAGCACCGCTCGAAGGGTCGGTACTGGTCGCCTCCGAAAAACTTCTCCAAGAGATGATCGCTTCTTGAGATTGCGGATTATACGGAATCGATCAAATACTGCGGTAAATGTTCAGCAAGATCTTCGCCAAATTCGTGATGTTGCAGTGAGTGAGCAGACGGTATGTAGACGTCTAAAAGAAGTTAATTTGAAAGCTAGGAGACCTGCAAAAGGTCCCAAATTATTGCCCGAACATCGTGCTGCTAGAAGAAATTTTGTTGAAAATTATGGACAGTGGAATATTCCTGAATGGTCGAATGTCTTGTTTACGGATGGGTCAAGGTTTTGCCTCAACATGGTGGATGAAAGAAAAAGAGTGTGGAGAAGAATTGGTGAACGGTTTAATCAAAATTCAATAACAGAATGCGAACGTTTTGTAACATCAACTTTTAGTAAATGTTACTTTTTCTATGAAATATTGATAGTACCAAGTATTCAACTGACCTTTTCAGAATAATTGATTCAACTATGGTTTTCACTGAATGTATTTTGAGAACTTGCATCCCTTTTGTAGGATATTTTGAGCTTTTCTGTTACAGATTTCATGGAGCTGCGAGTCACTGGCATACACGATGGCATACATCGGAGATCATCCTGTATATTCCTTGCATAATTGATTTTTTCTACTCACATAACTAAAATGGCATTTATCGTACGGATATGTACCACGCTAAATGATCGATTAATCACGGATTGTCGATCTGTGATTAGTGTGATTTATTCAAAATATTAAACACGTTACCATGGCAACACGATTTCTTAAACACATCACCATGGCAACGCAGTTCATTAAACACAGCTTCATTAATTCGAGACATATGTCTGGCCTGTCAATTGTATTAACTGTCAACTGTTATTTTCATGTTTTGTATCAGAATTATTCAAACAATATTCGTTTGTATCGGAATTCTTCATTAAAAATATATGCGAAAAGTAGACGAGAGTGAAATCGAAGAGAATGTTCAGGTACTTACATACCTCCAAGAAGTGTAAAAATGAAGCATCCATCTTTGAGAACAATTTATTTATTCAGCGCTAAGCATGACAATAAACGTGAAACAAAGGTTAGTAAGCAATGGACTGGACAGATCTACAACCAATATCACTTATACGTGTCTCGCTGGTTGCATGCAGTTGTATGTATAATGTTTTCAATTCCCATTCCTTTCGAATTATTTTGTAGGTTAGCAGGAATAGCAGGTATGTTAATTAATGTAATTTTTGGAGTTCGTAGGAAAATCATAGTATGTAACGCGTTTATAAACTCTTCTAGACACTCGTTTATTAAACACTCGCTCCGCTCTGCTCCGCTCGTGCTTAAACTACTCGTTACTAAAAGGACGTTTATAACACTTGTTACATAATATACTATTAATAGCATGTTATGTTTTGTTGACTTGATGAAAGTTCATTATTTCAGTTTGTTTTGAAAATATTCATATGAAATGTCAAACGAGTTGTTAAGGTTGTAATTTTAATTCTTCTTTTTCTTTTGTTCCTTTGTCCCACGTAGCATTAACGAATAGTTCAGTGTTCAGACCTTCAACGAGCAGGATCGCGACAGTAACATATCAAGGTTGATAAACTTCGCTATATCTTTAGAATGTCTAGATAGTAGGCCGTCAGCGTTTTCTTATTGTTATTGATCTGTATTGATTTGTATTGATTTTTCATTTGAACCTGATATCGGTTATTACAACGGTTGATTCGAATCTGGCTATTTGGTTACTATGATTTTTTGACTTTTATGACACGGACATTTGAATTTACAACTAGAAAAGAGAAAGAAAAATTGAAAATCGTTCATTTCTGCATCTGGCCATCATCGAATGAACTCCTAGGTGGATGTCCGCTAAAGTTAATTTCTAATCATCCACCATTTCTCATGAAGAACATCTAATTAGAGGTAACCATTCAATTATTAAGAATATTTTTGATTCATTGAAATTATTATTTTTGTGGAATTTGGTCCATATTCAAGGAAATTAGTTTGTGAACTTTCATCATCTTGAGGTTACGTTATTATAACATGTTTTCTAGCTATTTTTCCTATGTTATAGTTCTGCCAGACTGTTCTGTTATTTTACTTTTATTGTACTTTTACTTGCTTTTGTACTTTTAATCTTCACTGTTTGGATTTGGAAGATTATGTAACTTTTGCTCATCAATGCTTTTTATGGACTCGAAAGAGTAAGCATTTCTGATGATTTGAGGAAACAATCTTCATGGGAAGATTGTCCTGGCTTTTATAGCCGATTTATTGTTCCTGTTAATGCTGGAAAGCGATTGATGTAAATTTCAAGAAGATATAGATAATTTCCAACTTGATGTCATAAATTCAACGTACTGGCTGGACTAAGCATACTTATAGGTCACCTGACGTCTCACCAGACTCGTATGCTCTCATGAAATCTGGAAAGAGGAGCCCAAAATGATGATGAAATTGACCAGGATGTAATTTGGAAGCTGGAAATATCAATAAGCTCTGGTCAAACAACATTTTCTGGCTTATTCACAATCTTGCTGACAAAAGGTATTCTCTGCATATTATAAAATACTCACTGATCGTTGAAACATTTATTATCGAATCTTTTATAATCTAAAATCAAGTACAATTTGGAATCTAGTACAATTGAAAAGTCACTATTCAATATTCCTATATCTGTGAAGGTGTAATGCATTATATCTGGGGAATATTCCATTGATTATATTGATTAGATTTATCCAAAGCTGATGATCATTGTGTCAAGTTTCACTGATAGAAAAACGTTTATTTAACACCCTGTATAATAAATATGCACACCTGCATTTCAGTTGCAGTCGAAATTATTTGTGACACATATATATTATGAATGTTTGTGATGCAGAATTGATACTTCGAATAACTTTTTTAGTCAGTAAATGAACCTAAATTTTATTGGTTTGATTTGTTTTCCTATCCTTCAGCACAGACAATTTCTTTCTACAGGGATTGGCTTAAGAAAGAGGTTTGTTGAACTTTATTTTCTGTAGATGGCGTCCAAATAAAATCTTATCTGGTGGAACTATCTTTCTTATGCTAATTGTTATATTTTTGACAAAGTTACATGATATGGTAAGTAAATGAACCACGACCCATTTGCCCCGACTATATGAGCTGACCGTTCGCACAGTGTAACCTGGAATTTCTTAATTTCTCACGTATAAGGGTTATAGTTTTAATGGTGGGTCCGTTATGGTGTGAGAAGGGATTTCAATGAATTGAAAGACACCCCTTCATGTTCTTCCGGTGAGGCAGTCGATGAATGCCCAAATTAACATTGACATTTTAGAGCAGCATGTCTTACCTTATGCAGAGTTAGTGGGCAATAATTTTATATTGATGCAGGATAATGACCGACCAGACACCGCAGCAGAAGTGCGAAACTTCTTAGAAGCTACTGGTATTACCACATTACAATGGCCTGCGAGAAGCCCCGATATGAATCCTATAGAACATTTGTGGGATGAATTAGGGAGAAGGGTACGTTCTCGCGAGAGGTCTCCGGAAAGTCTCGCAGAAATGGCAGATGCATTAGTGGAAGAATGAAAGATAGATAGATAGAGTTTATTTAACTATGTTACATACAAGTATGGGATCGTATACCAATGGAAACGATAAGCAACTTAATTTCCAGTATGCCTCGTAGATAAGAAGTTCTTAGAGTTGCTAGAGGAGGCAATACACGGTATTAAGCAGTCATCCCGATTTACAATTTTGGGTTCAATAAAATTGTTTTTTAAAATTATTGATATCAGTTTATTTCATTAGAAAATTGTTTCTCGATAAATTCAGAAAGTTGGTAATCTGCAAGGATTCAGCAAAAAAAGCTGTAATTCGGAGAATTTTAGAGATAAATCAATGAATAAAAAAACAAAATGCTCGCAAAAGAAGCCCCATTCGTATAGGGTGTAAGCACTTTCTATGCCATTATTCAATTAACACACAGGGTGAGTCAAAAATTAAGAATAAATCATGGTTCGAGTTATTCACCACCATCTAGGAGGCGTTGAAAAAATTTTCACCTCTTTATTTTTTTTTAAGATAAATGCATTACCTACCAATAAATAAAAAAAAATTAGCCTACTATTTTTTGTTTCTTTTTTGAAGAAGATAGGTCAAATATCAAGTGCGTCACTTTTTTTGGAACTGAGTGTATATATCTTGAGATATATTGCTCTGAAATGCCAATAAAATGTACGTTCGACCTGACAATATTGCCAATTTGGACAGAAAGCTATAATTAGTCAGATATTCATTCCTCGATTTTAAAATTTTAGTCAATAATAGAGATGCTGTTAGATAACTCAACTAATAACTACTCATATGAAAATTCGTGGTGAATTTGAATTGCATAATTAGTTAGTCCTTGAAAGGTACTGCTCTGAAATTCGTAGGCCCATTTACTATAGGGAATGTACATGAAAAGATTTCGTACCAATTCAATCAATATACAATAATCTATGGTAAAAGTCCATGGTATCTCAAAGTGAAGTGAATATAGATTCATAAGCAAGACACACTAGGTCATCCACAAATTTATCAAATTATCAGTGTCTGAACATGTTTCGGACTATCAATAGTCCATCATCATCATAAATAGTGTAATTACTTTCTGTTTCAAATTTCGTGATATTTTGAATATTTAATAAATAATATAGGACAGATCCGGGACGAACACCTTCAGTCATCGGTAGTCTATGAGACTCTGAGTTAGTAGATTTGGTACGGATTGTCCTATTTTGAAGATACGAATCTGAAAGGTTCCTTATCATGTCTTTGAGTCCCATTGATTCTAAATTATCCAAAAGTGTTATGTGGTCAACTGCATTGAAAGCCTTTTTGAGATCAACAAAAATTGCTATCACATAATTACCGGTATCAAGTCTTTTTGTATTGCTTGTATAACTGGTAATACAGCTACTTTTATGCCACTATTTTTTCTTGAAATCCTAATTGATTCATGTCAAAGCTATATTTTTCATTTATGAAATCTACAATGCTTTTTTCAAGAATTTTTTCAACAATTTTGGGGAAAAATGCTCAATGAGGCAATTGATCTACAATTTTCTGGATCTTGGGTATCTCCACTTTTGTATATTGGTCTTAATGAAGCATGTTTCAATTCATGTGGGAATATACCAATGGTGAAACATGTATTGATCCAAGCTTCTTGCCTTCTTTTAGAAACTTCAAAAGTCGTTCAATTTGCTCCTATTGCAGAAGGAATTCTAGAGAAATGACAAAATTTTAAAATGAAGATACAGTAATTTCAGATCACAATTATTTCTCTGAAAAATCGTATTACTTCGTCTCTCGCTGCATTTTTCACAAATTTAATTCGCAGTGATGTGAAAGACTTGTATTGAACTAAGAATGGCCAATCAAAAATGGCAAATAACAGGGAAACATGTTTTTCCAGAAGCAACTGAAGGAAGTTGTTTGACAATTATAAGAAACTTTGATAACCAGGCGGCTCCTCAGAGGAGGCAACGGAGGCTGAGCCTCCTCAGAGATTTTCCTTAAACTATTATTATCTATACTTCCTCATTAAAAGGACACCAAAATACAAGGATTTTGATTTTATTTCCTGTTTTTAGGTGAATATTTTTGAATTGGCAACAGTGCTTGCCCACGCATCACACGTTGAGGTCTGCAAATCACGCGTAAAATATTCAACTTGGCAACATCTATAGGAGACTGGACTCCTTCACAAATCGAAACCCATTCGCGCAATGCAAATGCCCGAATACGCCCGAATAGCACGTGTTTGTCGTGTCGCGAATTGCGGACTTGTTTAGGTTTATGTCAGATTAATGGTTAGGGGCTCAATAAATTTCTGAAAAAGGAGTGTTTTAAACAATTGCGATTTAGTGGAATACTTTTTGGTGAACCCATTCAGTGTCTTTTGTCTTATGAAGATAAATTGATTGTGAGAAACAAACGTCCCACACCGGAATTAAAAAATCTGATTGTAACAGGTAACAAACAGAATCGTTCGTTCAATTCTGATAATTATAAAAAATATATGTACAGTCTGTCCAAGATGAGGTTGCACAGCATGGGGAACTCGGAAACGGTAGGAGATACGAAGTTGGTTAAATGGGGAAAAAGTTGCGCATTCGGAGGCTCATACCAACAGCCTTCGAAAATTTTCAAAATTGTTTCAAGCTTTCCAGTTATATCGAAAAAATGAAATTTTGAAATATCTATTTTATTTTTTTTCTCCGTTATAATTAGAGATACAGAAAAACTGAATATACTTTTTCATTGCAACTTTTGTTTACGTTTAGCGTGGTGATACCAATTTTTTTTATGCGACGTTTCGTATTTGAAGAACTATCACCAACTTTTGTTTTTCAAATACGGTCCTCATAGTTCTTTCACAGATTCTGAAAGCTTTTTTTATTCTGAATTCAACAATGTATCAAACAAGGTGGTTTGAATGTGTTTCGAACTATTTTTAGACATCATCAATGTTTTTTTTCGAAATTCCGAAGGAAAATGCCATCAGTTTCACTTATTTCTGATTATTCAGTGTCAAACATTGATGGACTAGTTATCCAATACTGAAAAGTGAAAAAAAAATCCACTAAATTATTCAATGCAGCGCTTCGAATTGTTTATGAATTGTATTCATATTTTAATCGGAAGGAGATTGTCATAATTAAATTTTTCGAACTAATCATTCCTATAAGTCTATCAATCGGAACTAGTGGATGAGGTATTAGTTTGTTGGCTAATTTTCCTTCAAAATAAGTGGAACTGATGGCATTTTTCCTTTGGAATTTCGAAAAAAACATTGATGATGGCTAAAAATAGTTCGAAACACATTCAAACCACCTTGTATAATACATGGTTGAATTCAGAATAAAAAAGCTATCAGAATCTGTGAAAGAATTATCAGGGCCGTATTTAGAAAACAGAAGTTGATGATGGTTCTACGAATACGCAACGTCGCATAGGAAAATCGGTATCACCACGTTAAACGTCATCAAAGGTTGCTATGAAAAAGTATTTCCAGTTTTCCTGTATCTCTAATAATAACGGAGAAAAAAAAAATAAAAGAGATTCCAAAAATTCACTTTTTTCGATATAACTGAAAAAAATTTGGAAAATTTTCGAAGGCTGTTGGTATGAGCCTCCGAATGCGCAACTTTTTCCCCATTTAACCGACTTCGTATCTCCTAACGTTTCCGAGATCCCCATGCTGTGCAACCTTATCTTGGACAGACTGTATATCTGGTTGACGGGATCTGAGGTAAGGAATAAGATATTTAGTTGGTACTGCGTATTATTTTCAACCGATAAGTCATCATGTTGGGGGCGATTAGGATATAATGATTTGAAAAATTTGCCTCGCGGATTGGATAGACACTGCAAATCACAGGAACACATCTCTTCAAATTTCAAGTTCAGGTCAACTGGTAAACAGAATGTCATTTAAGCTATTGATTTGGGTGAGTAGAGAGTTGTTTTTCACAATAAATCTCATATCATTCAGCCTCCTCTGTCATGAAAGTCACGAGCCGCCACTGTAATGATAACAACACGAAAGTCGAAATATGATTTCAAAATTCTTCCTTCAAACTCTTTCAATGCCTTTTTCGAAGAAAAACTCACATCAAGGTCAGCAATGAACTTTTTAAAAAATTCAATACACTCAACTATTTAATTTCTAGTAGCCTGTTTCACATGTAAGAGAATGAAGAGGTTTTCACTTACCTTTACAAACAGCTTCAACATATCGTATCCACAAAATATTATCTTTTCCGCTTTGTCTTGCTTCCACATGGTTATGAAAACGAAACAAAACATGACAAGCTGCCTGTCTCACTTCTTTGTCACTACTACTCAATCCCACTACCGTAAGACTCAAAGCACCTGAAAAATAAAACATTTGACTTCATTCCCTTCCCTTGAAGAATTTTGAAGCAAGCACAAAATAGTTATTTATTATACAAGGGAAAAAAGTAGTAGATTTTAGCTCCAGGTTGTGTTGTCTCCCGACGCGTAGCGGAGGGAGACAAAAAACCGTGAGCTGAAATCTAATAATAATAATAATAATAATTTTTCCTGTCCCAGAAGAAAGGACGAATCAATATTGAGAAGATATATGGTGATAAACATATCAATAATATTATATACAATCGTATTAAGCACTTCAAACGATCTAACAAAAATTGTTCCTTATCTTTCATAGCTGGCCAAGAACAGAAAGGCAGTAAGTTTGAAGGTATCGAAAAACTGAAAAGAACTCTTACATTTATTTTAAATAACAAACATAACTTCACTTTGAAAACTGTCAATATGTCCATTATTGAAATAACCACGAATGATACAATGCAGTTTTTTCGAGATCAATTCACTTGCAGCTCATCCCTATGAAGTGATACCTGCAAGTGTGATTAGTTCGAATATATTTGAAACAGGCGAAACTTTACCAAGTCATAACTCGGTCATGAAAATTATCAATCTTAAGGCGGGCCTTTCGCGACAGCTTTCCGACCGAATATAGCCTATATATATATACTAGTTCAACAACTATTTCTAGGTGTCAGTGTGATGTCGAAATCGGAATAAAATAATTAAATTACAGCTTTCACAGCTATTGTAGAGTTCTTCGATTTCGTCTGTTACAGCAGGTCACCAATAGGTGGCACACAATTGAATGCAATCATAGGTAATTGTATTATGTACGTGCAGTGTTGCCAGAGCTACTGCTCCACGGGCCTGCTCAACATGATTCCACTTTTCACTCCATTCAAGTCAAGCAAATACCTATATCTCGCTACAATGAAAATTTATGTCATGAGTCATTTTTGAAACTGTCTTCACAAGTAGTCTTTCGAATATTTCTTTTCCTTTTTAATTTCATTTCCTACTAATATAACTTATCATTATTGGCGTCGCCAGAAAAACTTCCAAGGATGGGGATCGAAATCATTGTTCAGGGCAAAATACTCAAAATAGTCTGTGTAATTCAGAAATAATGTGTGCAAGATTTTTTATCAAGTTCAGATGGCTATAAATAGAAATTTCGTGTTTTCTGTATAGGGTATATACGTAGACGATTGCCTAGTTTCAAATATCTTCATTCTTACGAATTCACACTGCTATTACTGATATAAGGGTTATATTGTTATATACAGTGTGTAGAATGAAAGAAATCCTTGATTCAAATTTCATGTTCTCTAATTCAGACTTGCTTGCTGAAATACAAATTTCGATCATAATTGCACTTATGAAAAAAACAATTTTTTCGAAGTGAGAACTTCTAGGCGCGTTGAGAACTTTTTTGGAGAAAAACATTGGATTTCGCGTCATCGTCACGACCCGTTCCGTGTCCCGTTATCGCGAGGTCAATGAATAGCAATAAATTTGAAGGGTGCAGTATCGCATCTCATCTTATATTATGTAGTATTTTGTAATTATGATTAGATTCTATTCTAAATTGATATATGGAGGTTTTCGGGGTAGATTATGATTCTTTCGTGAAAATTAGGATATTGAAGACTGCTGACGAGTTTTATTTATAATAATTATGATCCCATTCTATTCAAAATTGGTGTCTGGGGGTTCTCGGCGTCGGAGATTATGATTCTTTCATCATGGCTCCACCAATATGGCGCACGAGTTTCGTAATTATGATTCTATGCCATTTGAAATTTGTATCTGGGGTTTTTTGGGGTCGGAGATTATGAATCCCGAAATGAAAAAATTCAAGATGACGGATTCAATATGGCGGACGAGTTATGTGATGATGATTCTATCCTATTCAAAATTTATATATAAGGGTGTTTGGGGTCGGAAATTATGATTCTATCGTCAAAATTGGGAAATTCAGGATTGCAGATCCATTAAAGCGGACAAGTTTTCTAATTTTATTATCCGATTCTATTCAAAATTTTTACTGGTGTTTCAGGGGTCGGAGATTTTGAATCATTTGTCAAAATTAGGAGATTCAAGCGAACACCATCTCAAAAGTTTTTGTTAGTCTATCTTAGACAGCGAATGTTTTTAGGTAATAAAGTTTGTCGAGTTGATAAAAATTCTGTTTGATAGTGATAAAACAGTGTATAGTGTGAGTGTGATTATATCGTACCAAAGTTTCCAGAATTCCCTGGTTTCGGTCTTCAACATAACGGTGAGAAATTGATTTGCCATCATATGCTTCCTATATCTCACAATCCATTTTGTTTTAATGGTCAACTTTTTTTAAATCATTTAAAAATCGAATCATAATGAAAAAAATATAAGAAAATTATGTTCATGCTGATATAAAACTCACAAAGTTATTGTATGAGGAATTTTAAAATGAAATATTTTTCTTGAACAACCTGTTTCTCCAAAACTAACAACATTTTCTATGAGAGATGTGAGGCTGCATCTTGATATTCTGATGTTTACTATTTCTAGCTCACACATTGACCATTTTCATGCTGATTTAAAACTTACAAAGTTATTGTATGAGGAATTTCAAAATAAAATATTTTCCTTCTACACCCATTTCTCCAAAACTAACAGCATTTTCTATGTGAGATGTGAGATGTGAGGCTTAATCTTGATATTCTGATGTTTACTATTTCTAGCTCACACATTGACCATTTTGAATGAATAACCCTGTATATATTTCAAAGAAAATTTTAATATCACGGAATTCTTTGAATTTCAAAAATCTTCCCCAAAGAAGATGTAAGTGGAATATGAAGTATCTACCTACGATAATTCTCTAAAACATGAACTGGATGTTCGATAACGTCTCCAAATGTCTCGAAAAAAAAAAGCGGCTGCTATATTTTCAAATATTTCGTATGTGGCTGACTTTCCTGTTGCCTCGCTTTTCTGCCCATTCTTATGAATTTTTGCGACATATCATTTGCAGCAGCTTGCAACACTGGCTTTTCAATTATTGATTATAATATGCCGGTTAGTTTGAAGTTCATCTGAAGTTCACGCAATTCAAAGTGGCACGTGGCGGACTAGGCGGACTGCGGAAAGACGGGGAATCACCGCGCGACCAATGAATATCCCCCCGGTTCGCCGCGGGAGGAAGAGAGACATATAACGATTTCTCGCTCAGTTTTGTTTTGTTGCCGTGGCGGTATTATCCTTTGTGAATATCGCCATATCAATGGATCCAAAATCTGAGAACTGTACTCTGAGAGTTCTGAGACGAATGTTTTTGCATGAGTTTTAGAGTGAAATAACCTGAACTTTTGACACAGATTAACAAAGCTTTTTGAAGTTTGTTCCACAACTGTGCCATTCCTATTATTTCCATCTATATGCTGACATAATTATCGATCTCATGAATAGAATTGAAGAAATTCTGCTGAATTTGTATGTTTAAATTTTCAGGTCTACTTATATAATTATAATTCAGTGACAAATTCTAGGCCGTTTCAAACTACTCTATTTATTTTCTAGTTCTTTTTAGTTCGGTTCTCTATACCTCTTCATTTTTTCAAACTACTCTCTATTTTCTACTCACTTCTTTTTAGTATGGCTATCTATAAAAAGGTGTTTCATTAGTTTTTCAAACTAATATTTATTACAATAGCTGATACCCGGCAAACGTTATTCTGCTATATACAATTATTTCCAGAAAATATTTTTTTAGTTAAATATTTATCAACATACTTATATTCATTTGTTTTCTAATTCTTCTCCGACCCCGAAAATACCCAGATACAAATTTTGAATAGAATCGGATCATAACTACAAAACTCAGTTGCCATCCTCCATCTTCAATTTCCTTATTTTGATGAACAGTCATAATCTCCCATCCCAAAATCCCCCATATACAAATTTGGAATGGAATCGGATTAAGTTACAAAACTCGTCAGCCATATTGAATCTGCCATCTTGGATTTCCAAATTTTGATAAAAGGATCATTATTTTCGACTCCGAAAACCCCCCGATACCAATTTCACATAGAATCTGATCATAATAATTAAAAAACTCTTCCACCATATTGGATCCACCATTTTGAATTTCCCCATTTTGACAAATGATTCATAATTATCTACGACCTCTAAAACCTCCAGATACCAATTTTGAATAGAATCTGACCATAATTACAAAACTCGTCCGCCATATTGGATCCGCCATTTCGAATTTCCTAATTTTGATAAAAAATCATAATCCCTGACCTCGAAAACCACCAGATACCAATTTTGAATGATATCTGACCAATCTGTTCTGTTCAACACCAAAACATACGCTGATGCTCTTAGATTCCATCCAGAGAAGAGCCATTCGCCTGGTGGGTGACGCCACACTCACTCACTCTTTGACATCATTGGAACACCGTAGAAAGGTCGGCGACCTCTCTATCGATACTTTCACGGGAAATGGCTATCATCCCTCCACTAGCAATACCAGACGAAGTAGACAAGCCCAGTCAGCACATCCTTTCGTTGTCAACCTCGAAAGATGTCGAACAGCACTTTATCAAAACTCCTTCATCCATAGAACGGCTAGGCTCTGGAATTCAGTGCCCGAGGAAGTATTCCCAACAACATATAATCTCCAGAAGTTCAAAAAAAAACTCCAATACCTACCTCCTATCCCTATCCTCCCTAGGAACGCACGATGTTCTTTGAACATTATAGGGATTTCCTTTCGTGCGCTCCAAGCGATAAAGAAAATAATTACAAAACTCGTCCGCCATATTGGATCCACTATTTTGAATTTCCTTATTTCGATGAAGAAATCATAATCTCCGACCTCGAAAACCCGCAGATACCAATTTTGGATGGAATCTGACCATAATTACAAAGCTCGTCCGCCATATTGGATCCGCCATCTTGAATTTCCAAAATTTGACGAAATATTCATAATCTCCGACCCCGAAAACCCCTGAGTACCAATTTTGAATGAAATCGGATAACTATACTCGGTCGCCATATTGGATCCGCCATTTTGTATTTTCTATTTAAAAAATAGATTACGACCGATTCTCATACCTACCGAATACGCACAAAAAATTTCATACGAATCGGTCGAGCCGTTTCGGAGGAGTTCGACCACTATGACCGTGACCGTGACAGGAGAATTTTATATATATTAGATTTTTTCGTCTTACAAACACTCGGAGAACCTCCCCTTGAAATATGCCCAGATAATTGAATAATACCCTCTGTATTATCACGTCGCCTTGATTTCATAATATGTCCGAGTAATATGTATAACATTGGCAACGGTGTAAACGGGTTTGAATTCATCATCTCTCCTAAGCGCCATCTGCTTGCAATACAATGCACCATTCCTCTCTGCCGCAGTCTGTCATTTCGAACACTGCCATCTATCAGGTAATGCCTGAACTACCACATCCTAGTTTCCTGCATTACATTCTTTCAAGAAATGGAGTTTACCGAGATCAGCTGGGATGAATGGATATTTTGTTGACAGAATAATCGTTTTTGTTGCTTCCTGTCCGAATGGAAACATTTCAAGAGCTGATATTCCAGTGACACCTTGCCGAATTTCCAACAATTGTACTGAGATCGAAAATATTTCAATTTGAGACAAAAAAATTTCAATGTTTACGTTTTTCAAAAATCTGTATCTCCTATAAATAAATGAGTTTCGACTCCGTATGATAACCAGGCCCTAGCCCCAACCTTCTTCTTTACGATGATTTAATCAGTTTTTCAATTGAATCATTCATAAGCCCATATAGCAACATCTAGTGAAGGCCTGCATGTCGATTTGGTTGAATCTCTCCTCTTAACGTACAGTGTCTGTCAAACAAAATTAATTTAATTGAGCATCATATGACCGAAATCGATCCAACATTTCTTTGCCTCACTGAGCATTGGGCAAGTAAAGAACAATTTAATGATATTGTAGGGTATCAGGAAGTAAGTAAATACTGTAGAGAAGAACACAAGCACGGAGGGTCGATTATTTTCGCAAAGAATAATATTATCGAGAAATGTCGAAATCTAGAATATATATGTGATTCATCAATTGAATTGTCATTCGAATGCTCTGCTATCTCATATGAAAGAAATACGGCTATACTTTGTATCTATAGATCGCCAAATGGTAATGTGAATATATTCCTCATGCAACTTTCCATTATTCTAGCTAAAGTGACAGAAACCTATGACAATGTATTTATATGTGGTGACTTCAACATTGACAGTTTGACAAAAACAATAAATACCATGATGTTATATGACATGTTCGAATCGTATGGACTTATCTCTCTGTTTAATGAACCTACAAGAATTGGACATCTGGGTAGTCGTGAAACTATTAGTAGTATAGATTATGTATTAACCAACATCAGTAGAGATAGCTTAATTCTTAATAATTTTGATCCGGGGTTATCTGATCATCATATGCAAACAGTTATCTGGGAAAATCGAAGTAATATCACACGAATCAAAGAAACTCAAGTATCAAATAAAATCAGGAAGATAAATGATCTCTCGATAGCTGAATTCAAGCTATTTTTCATCAGTGACATCGACTTTGTGAATAATTTTAGTAAAATCACCTTCAAAAATATTAATGAAGCTGTCGGAACTTTTTGGGAACATTTTCATTGGTGTTTGGAGGCAGCATTTCCAAAATCTTTTAAACAGAATGGTCTCGGAAATGGAAATCAAAATAAAATCGTTTTATCTGCCTCGCTTAGAGAAAAAATTAATGACCTGAAACATCTTAATCATCTGAAAAAGCTGAATATCGTTGAAAACGGTAATACTGCTTATAAACAAGCCAAGAAAACTGTTGAAAATGAAATACGAAAAGAAAAAGTTGACTATTTTATGAAAAAAATTCATGAATCTAGTAACAAAAATAAAACACTGTGGAATATAGTTAAGCAACCGAGGAGATCTGACGTAGGCAAACAAATAACTTTAAATTTAGAACAGAAAACTATCACTGATGAAACAGAAGTTGCCGAAACATTTGGAGAATACTTTTCAACCATAGTTGAGAAGAAGATGAAAACGCATTTTGTTGAAAATGACATGGTTTCGTGTACATCAGTACCAAATGTAAATTCAACTTTATTTTTTGAACCGGTTACACTAGATGAAGTGGAAAAAGTTATAATCTCATTACCCAATAAAAAAAGTTCAGGATATGATGAAGTATCCACAAAATTAATTAAAGAATGTGTTGATATACTGACTGGCCCAATAGCGCATATAATGAACTTATGTATAACGTTTGGGGAATATCCTGATATATTTAAAATTGCTGTCATAATCCCTATTCTGAAGAATGGCGACATTAAAAATATTGAGAACTATCGTCCCATATCAATTATAAGTATTTTCTCAAAGATTCTTGAAAAATTAATCTCTTCTCGCATCAACAGTTACTTGGAAAAATTCAAATTGTTAACAGAATGCCAGCACGGATTCAGACGAGAGCATTCGACAGAAACTGCAACGCTTGA